TTTTAGAGGCAGAAGAAAAGATTTCTGTTCCTTCAGGCTTCTCAGAATTAAGACATGAGGCTTTTGAGATGTTTGGTGGGGAACAGATGTGCCCAGACAGTTGTTAATGGCATGCAGATCTTCCCCCCATCTGTTGCTATTTTCAAGATGGATCCTAAAATGCAGTTATGTTTGAAAATTGGTGGGCGCACCGGGCGGCGGGGCACCAGAAGGTATCCTCGCCTAGTCTGCAAAAAAAAGCTGGGGTCGGCCCTGCCTCCGAGGAGGGAGGAGAAGGATAAACAACAGAAACTGAAGTTCCCTGCCAGAAATGCCAGTCCAGTGAGTTCTGTTCCTAGACAGGACACTACCATAGACTTCCAAAATATACTGACTGAGGCTTTGCACCCTCTGCTGGAACAAATGACATAGCTCCATAAGAAGTTCGATGCACGACAAAGACAGTTACATGAGACTACTAAAAAGACAGAGAAAATGGAGCAAGAGCTTTAAAAAGTGGATGCCAAAACCCAGAAGCTTAAAAAACAAATGCAGGTGATGGGAAAAAACAGAGCAACTGACGAGGCTCAACTTTTACATCTGCAAATGGAAAGGGCAAGCTATGTCTTAAGATTCCAGGGGGTCCCTGAAGCAGAAGGAGAAGACTTGAAGCAGATTATGCGCGATGCATTGGGTCCGGCTGCAGATTTAAAAGTGGATTTTCTACAAAATGAAATAGATACGATCTATAGATCATACTCTGACTACATAAAAAAGAATAATCTGCCCAGCGAGATTGTGGTGAGATTCTCCAGGAGACAAGTACGGTAAGAGACCAAATATTGAAAGCAAGAAATGGAGCCACCCTGAAAACCAAAGACAAAGAAATAAGAGTTTTGAAGGATATTCTATTTGAATTAAGGAAAAAGAGAAAGAAATACAGAGACTTGGTACTGTTCTTACAGAAAAACGATGTCCCCTACAGATGGAGTGTTCCTGAAGTCATGCTTTTCAAATTTAAAGGCAAGAAAGAAAAAATTGACTCTGTTGTAAAGGCACACGAATTTCTACATCAACATGTCGGTCCAGCAGGTGAAGAAGATAAAGATGAAGATGGCAGCAGCAAGGGAAGTGAAGAAGAAGGAGCACTGGCACCTTCTGATGAGGACTCAGTTTCTGAACTGGGAGAAGCTGCCCCTAAACTAAGCTATCGATTGAGAAACAAAAAGGACAAAAAATGAGTTGTGATTGTTCTCTAGATTCTGTTTTAAATGAATTTAAATCATTTCTCTATAGAGATCTTTATATAGTCAGGAGATTCTAGTACAAGCAATAAGAATTGTGTACTCACTTAATGTTGCAAAGTATAAGCTTTTTTAAAATTCGAAGCTAATTTTGTAAGCATTGTGAATGACCACCATCTCTTGGGTTTTTAGTGGTTTTTCTTTACTTTCACCTGTAGTTTGCAGTTACCTTTCCTTGTTTCTTTGTGGTTTTTAGAAAATGTAATAATAAAAAAAAAAATCCCCCCAAATGTATTTTAAAAAACCAGTGTGGCCAAAACCAGTTACTATCACAAGTGCCTTCTGAAAGAGTAGCTTCTTACTCTGCCATCAAAACTCACTCACAATGAGTGAAACAAAGTTTGAATCCAGGGACACCTTTAAGACCAACAAAGTTCTATTCAAGGAATAAGCTTTTGTGTGCAAGCACACTTCCGCAGGTGAGTGAGTTAAGCAAGTCTCCTCTGCAAGGGAATGAGAGCCAGTGTGGTGTAGAGAGTGGACTGGTGGACTAGGATCCGGGAGACTCAGGTCTGAATCCTGCCTTTGCCATGGAAGCTAACGGTTACCAACATCTAGGTGTGGTCTGAAGTTCTTCCAGAATTACAATTCATCTCCAAACTACAAAACCCAGTTTTCCCTGCAGGAAATGGCAGGATTTCAAGGGAAGACTCCATGGCATCACATCCCCACTAGGTTTCTTCCCTGAACTCTGCTCTCCCCATGGCTCCCAAATCTCCAGAAATGTCTCAAGCCACAGTGGTTAGCCCCACTTTTTCAAACAGTTAAAAATAGCTCTCTACCCCTCATCCAATGGGGTTAGAATTATTCCAGTGGTGTGAGAGCCAGTTTGGTGTAGTGGTTAAGTGCGCAGGCTGTAATTTGGGAGGACTGGGTTTGATTCCCCACTCCTCCACTCGCAGCTGCTGGATGACCTTGGGCAAGCCATAGTTCTGTCGGAGCTGTTCTTGAAAAAGAGCAGTTTCTGTCAGAGGTCTCTCAGCCCCACCTACCTCACAGAGTGTCTGTTGTGGGGAGGGGAAGGGAAAGGAGTTTGTAAGCCGCTCTGAGACTCTGAGTGAAGGGTGAGGTATAAATCCAATATCTTCTTCTCTTCTACTTTATTACCTTTCCTTTTAAAGCTACTGTAGCAGTTTTTTTCCATCTTTGTGCAAAGGAGAAGAAGCCTTACACAAACACTTTGCTCAAGATTGGAAAATGACAGCACCAGCATCATTCTCCATCTGACCGCCTCCTACTACTTCACATGCATGTACACTAGGATTGCTGAACTCCAGATGGGGCCTGGCCTGGATAAGGTTGGGGCGGGGGGCAGAGGGTTCTTTGGGAAAACAGCAGAGGAAATTTTCCCCCACCTTAACACTGCAGACCTGCTCTAAAACGCTATAATTTTTGCACAAATTGCCATTTTGTGATTAGGAGCACCAAAGACTCCTGCAAAAATGTAGGTAGTTCTTAGAAACATAAAGACTGATCTAAGGTAACCAGCTCTCTGTCACTATTCACCTTCTCTCTCTGATGAGATAACACAAGGGAATGGGAAACAAAAAAGGTGACTAAACTCAGCTGTAGCATTTATAGAAGCTGCTTTTGAGATCTAGAATAGCTGAGCCTGAAAATGGAAGTTAAAATCATCTGTCAGCTAACCGGTGCAAAAAGCATATCGAATGCATTTTAAAAGATACTAAAAACTGGCCTCTCTCCTATTATCTCCATTATATGAAGAAAACCTCATCTAGCAACCAAAAGGGAAAAACCAATCATGCCTGTAGAAAACTTGCCAATTGGTACCCCTTTCTATCTCTCATACAAAGGAAAGGTAACACCTTTGTAGCCAGCATGGTATATAGTGCTTAGGGTGTTGCAGTAGGACCTGGCATACTCAGGTTCAGATCTCCTCTCTGCCATGAAACTCACTGGGAAACTTTGGACCAGTCATTCTTTCTCAACTTTTTTTTTTTAATTTATAATTTTTATTTTTCAGAGTGAAGAAATACTACCTCACAGGGTTGTTGTGGAGACAAAACAGGGGGTACCATGTACACCAACCAGAGTTTCTTGGAGGAAGGATGTGATAAAAATTGATAGAGTGACCTTCCTTGTACAGCTCTTTCAGTCTAGAGGCTGCCTGTGAAACCCTGGGGGTGGGGCAGAAAATCCAAATAGGAAGGCACAGTATGATAAAAATATAATGCTAAATGAAATAAATTTGCTGTTCTTTAATAATGTGCTTCCTGAGATGGGCTGCCTCATCTTGTCTAGTGGACGTCTTTTCACTGGTCCCATGTGTTCTATATAGAGATGGCCATTCATCCACATTGTATGATCATATTTCATTTTTGCATGCTATTTGGTAAAGGCATAATTTTGTGGTCCAAAGCTTGATGCAGACTCCTTACTATGGGTGGCGAGAAGCTCTGCGGGTGAACTACCTGTGCTGATTCCCTTTGGAGGAAGAATGCACTGTAGGCGTGTGGCATTTTCCTACTTGCTTTATTTACAAGTATAGTGTAGGTCAGTGGTGGTGAACCTATGGCATGGGTGCCAGAGGTGGCACTCAGAGCCCTCTCTGTGGGCACGCGTGCCATCGCCCCAGCCTGGCCCAGACCATTATTAAAGTGTCGAATTCTCTGCCAAATAATTTTAAGTAAATGAAAGCATTTGGGATTGCTTTCCTTACTATGTTTGGATCATCTTAAGTTAATGTATCAGTTGTTTTTTTCTAAAGCAAACCCTCAGTATTCAGGTTAAATTGCCGTGTTGGCACTTTGCGATAAAGTGGGTTTTGGGGCAGTTTGGGCACTCGGTCTCTAAAAGGTTCGCCATCACTGGTATAGGTGAAGGCAAAAAGGAACTCCTACAGGACAGCAGATCTGCTACCTGACAACAGATGTGGAGATTTTGCCCTCCAAGACATTTCATCCATCAATCCATCCAACCAACAGCAGCCTCAACCCTTTTTCTTTTAAACACACAAACACAGATGGCCTTTCCTAAACTCTGATGGGTACCATACTTCACTGAGCTATCAGGGGACCATCTCTGTGCAATTACCACCCACTGAGAAACAAACATTAACATCCTTTTGTCATTAGGCTCTGAGTCCCAGTAGACAATGTCCATTGTCTAGGCATGCCCAAACACATAGTGACAGACCCATAGGTCCATTCATAGCAAGCAGGCAGCAAACCACTACTGTAGATGATTCCAGGGGGGTAGTTGTCTCAGTCTGCTTGAGCAAAATGAAACAGGAGCCCAGCAGCAGCTTAAAGAATAACAACACATATTGCATCTTAAGCTTTCCTGAGAACTCACTTCAACAGATGCTCTAACTCTTTAAAGCTTATGCTGGAATATATTTTATTAGTCTTTCAGGCGCCACTAGACTCCTAGAGCAAAGGCGGAATGGTGTGTGACCTGGCAAATGTCAACAGTCGTGTCTTTAAGTTTACTTTAAAATGCTCTGAAGGGTTTCCATAGGCTGGTTTTTGTCTGACTGGGGGGATGAGGAGGGACAGCCCACCGTTTCCCCATCATAATTTGCTGAAGGGCACTTGGAGCAGCCATAGTTATCTATCCAAAAGTCCCTTAAGAAAACAGCCAGCGCGGACTAAGCCTCCCCACGAGACCGACACCTCCCCAGGGCCGCCCCCACAGCTCTGCAGTGGCCCGTCAACGCTCGCCTGCCCCGCCCCCTCTAAGCCGCCGGGGCTGGAAGTGCACGCGGGCGCGCTCTTTCCCCCTCCGCTCTGGTGCGCGCGCCCGCCTCTCGGCTGCTGCGAAGCGGGAACGCGCCAGGTTGAGCCAAGCAGGAGCCCGCTGCTCTGCCTGTCGGGTCGTGTTGTTTTTCTCCCCTTCTCTCGTCCTCCAGCCCACCCGGCGCTGCGTGAGAGCCGGCGCTACCACATGCCCTGCTGCTAGCTCTCTCGACGGCCTTTCGTCTGTGCAGCGTCACTCTTTGCCAAGCTGCCTTCGTTTAACACGGCCCCTACACAGCGTGCGTTGGCGGGGCTCTCACCCCCAGCCAGCCCACCCGCCTCCTCCCTCCCCCATCCTCGCTGCGATAAACTTTGGTGGTCGTGAGCAGCCGAGAGAACGAGAAGAAGGTAGCTCGGCGGCAGCAGGTCTTTGCCACGGGGCTCCTCCGAGGATGGAAGCTGGCGCCGCGTATGGGGCTGGCAAAGCCGGGGGCGCTTTCGACCTGCAGACCTTCATCCGGCAACCTCACACCATCCTCCGGATGGTTTCCTGGGTAAGGAGGACGCGTCTCGGGCTGCTTCGGGTCTGCCCCCGCGACGGCAAGTTAAGCAAAGACGGTCGGAGCACTCCCTCCAAAATGGGCTAAAGTCTTGCTCTGCTGTTTTGGGTGAGGCTAGTTTGGCTGTTGCCCGCGCCCCTTGTATGCGTGCAGCCCAGACGAGCGAGAGCTGACATTCAGCAGCGCTTGGGGGAGGAGGAAGAGAAGAAGGCGGCAAGGCCCTCCTGGTAGGGGAATAGGATTAGTAGTACTGCCCAGCCTTCGCGGGCCTCTTGAGGGCCACTGCCTGGGTTTCTCCCTTCTGTCTTAACGGGGAGTGGGCAGTTCCCCCTACCTGTGGGGGTGGCAAGGTGCTCTCGAAGCGGTGGTAACGGGGGCGCAAAATGACCTCTAAAATGGGAGCGAGGCGGTGCCCCTCATGGAACCCCCGGCTCGGGTTGCTTCTTCCTTCTCGGTTTTCTGCGGCTGGTGTGATGTGGTCTCTCGCCCGCAGTACCAGCGTGGTGTATAAACCGGGGCTGCTCTGTTGTGTGTGTGTGTTTAGTGAGGGGGAGAGGGGTTGCAATGAAAGAAGCCAGCTAAGAAGTGCATTAAGGGTCCCCTGCTCTCTGTCACTTACATGTCACAGGATGGAATTATCACATAGAGCAAGGAACAGTTTTGCTTTCTGTATTGTGATTTCTCCAAAATCACAGGCAGTTTTTTTAAAAAAGGGCTAGACCTGTTTTAATTTTTGAACAGGATGAGCTGTAATACTGGGGAAAGTTGAAGGACAGAATTGCCAGTGTGATTCTGCATCATAACCCTTTTTTTCTAACTGTACCCTTATCTCTTACTTGTGGGTGTAGGTGGGTTGGGGGGTAAGGAAGCAAGGGAGATGTTAGGTAAAATGCAAGCTCTCCTAGCTTTTAGTCACCCATTCCAAGTCTTCACCACATTTACCCCCACTTTTAATGTGCAATAGTTTTCACATAACAGCGTCTCTTCTGTATGATTAAAGAAAAGATGCATTCCATGGGATCAGGCAGGAAGGGTCCCCCCCCCCTTTGTCATCTATTTCCCTTGGGATAGCTGTAGAGGGGGGGGGAGGTTGCTTATCTCGTGACATTCTTGCCATGGCTGCCTATGTGCTTGCAGCATAAGCAAGAAGGTCATTGGGATTAAGACAGCAGGCTGCAAACCTTGAAGCTAGAGAGGGATTTGTTTCCTAGGGGAGTTTGGAGGGAGAAGAGGAGGCGGCGGCGGCAGCTGTATAGTGGAGCTGACCAAGGAGAAGAGATGCCTCTCCAAGTTATTATGAACAAAGTTGGCTTAGATAGGGGGAGATTTATTGAAAGGCAGAAGTTGAGAGGTGAGACTCACTTAGCCGGTTACAGTTGATAAGATTAAGCCAACAGAAATTTTTGCTCTTGAGTTTCTTATTTCACGAGTACCATACATGTGTCTCCACCCACTTTTGTCCAATGTTATGTCCCTCCCTTGCTGCACTTTACTTTGAAGCTGGTGTTGGGAGAAAAGAGGGCGAGCCCTACAGAATTCTAGCAGGGCCTTGAGAAGACAGAAGATGAGTTAGCATCTCCTGGTGAGCTTATTTTACAGCACAGCACAGTGTGCTAGAGTTCCTTTACCAGTCATTCTGTATCTGGCTCTGCAATCCGTCATAACATACTGGAAGAACCTTTTTGTTGCATGAGCAGTTGAAATCTGAATTGGGAAAGCAGCAGAGAGCATAGGCAGCAATGCAGCACCTCTCAGATTATGATGCCCATGATGTGACAGTAGATGGACATTTCTGTCCTTAATAAACTGGGACAGAACGTTCTCCCCTTTTGAAGCTGTTACTTCATGCTTTTGCTGCAGGGTTTCCTGAGTACGGGGGGGGGGGAGAGGATTTCTGCAGTGTGTGCTGCTTTTTTTGCTTCAGAATTCCACTTTATTGGCTTTCTTTATGAGGTCAGATGCCCTTTCAGCTCCAGAAAGATAGCCAGCATCCAAAATATTCTTGGATGTGCTCCTGTTTCCCCAGAGTACCAACTGGCTATTGCATCTTGACCTTGGAAGTGACTTTCAGCTCTGTTATATCCAGAGTCCAGGAGCATCCATCTCAGCAGGTGGTAGTGACAGGATGGCATTTGTGGATTTCCTGTGCTATTGTGCTGCTCAACTTGTTCTGCTTTGGAAGGAAAAAAAGCTCATTGTATATCATATGATAATATGATATACTATGGAATATTGCTTCAGATATTTGCAAATAACAGGAACCGCCCAGTCATGTGCATCTTTACCTGGAAAAAAACAATGCTGAGGTTTATTCCCAAGGCCTGCAGCCTAATGCTATGTGTGCTTACTCAGAAGTAAGTGTCACTCAGTTCAATAGGATTTACTTCTAACTAAGTGTGCATAATGTATACTTGTCCATTAGATTAAAAACATTTGGAATGAATCAAAAGTGGTTTACTTGACAGTCTTGGGAATTGGTTCTTTTGCATGTTATAACCAGGGATCCACTATGCAAGTTTGTGTGTGTGTTGCAACATCCATTTTCTGATTAATGGGAAAACAAGTATAACTGTGGTGAGAGCAATTTAGAACTTCTTTGCCTGCTCTAAACCAAGAGACAGTAGAGCTGTTCCCCCCCCCTTTGTACTTAAAAAATACTGCTAAGTGAAGGTTGCACCGTGAGCAGGTAGAGTTATCCCTTGCTCCAGCTACTAGACCTCAAAGAGGAAATGAATGGATTGATACCTTAAACCAGGAGTGCATTCAGAAGTGACAAGTGGCTAACTGACACGCCACGTATGGCTCTTCTCAGCACTGTTTCCCAATGTCACACACTGCATGCTCAGGAAGTGAGCAGTGCCTTGGCATCCTCACTGTCTCACCCATCCTGCTGTGCCTCTTGTGGGAAGGTAAAGCGAGAAACCTTTCCCCCTCATTCTAGATGCACAAGGGTTGGCTAAAGTTCAGCAGTGACAGGGAGAGACATGCACAGGAGTATTCTAGCAATTTAAAGAGTTATCATTATGTATATAATATTAATAGTTGCATCTTATTATATGCGTGTGTTTGGTGGGGTGGTGCACAGGCCATACAATAGTTACGTGACTCTTTCGATTGGTGGTAACTGTGAAGTGATACTGCACTGCCACTGTCTGCGCTGTAGGTAACCTTGCAATCATCTGTGATGATGTCTCTTGAAAGTAGAGGCAAGAGTAGCCTGTGAGGAACTGCAGGAAGGGGAACAACTTGGGAGTCTTCTGCATCTCAGGATTTTCTTAAAATCTCAGCAGTTCATTCCTCTTTCTGTGTTGTGTGATTCCTGAAGCGCATTTATTGTTATATATTTACAGAATTTGTACCCCACCTTTCTCCTTCATCAGCCCCCCATTCAGTCTTCATCATAAGCTGTTTTCAGATGCTATGTCCATGTGTACCAGGAGGCCAACAATTGCTTGTATCATGAGTGTATTTTGTAAGCATGTACAGCTTCATGCAAACTGACCACTGTTTTCCCTAGTGTTCTAGTTCACACACACTATAGGGTATCATGCAAAATATACTCGGTACCCCTGTTCAGACAATATGATGACCAAGTGCACTGGGAGCATGTTCATGATACATACACTTGCCAGCCACCCTATACACACAGTTATAACCTCTGAAGAGGGCTTATGTCTTTGGTGTTTTGTTTTTTTTTTTAAAGTTTACAAAGTAATTTTTCTGCATACCTAGGGAGTCTCTTGAGTATGTAGGAAACCTCTGCCTTATCTCTTGCTAGTCTGGTTTTGCTGCTTCTGTGATTGGCGCAAGCCACACAGTTTACTGTTAAATATAATGATGTCATCCATTTTAGGCTAATTTTGCTTCATGATCGGTAGTAATCTGCATTCACATATACAAAGGCAAATGGACGTTTCTGCCTGTAAGAGGAGTTAGAAGAGTTATTTGTGCAATTTTGGGGGTAAGGCTACATTTTTCACATTTAACTCACCAGCAGGAGAATAATGGCTGCAATCATGGGAAGATCATTCTCCTTTTTAGTCTTCCTCTTTATGGTATTAAGTTTGAAAAGCAAAGTGTTGCCTGTAAGCTTTAAAGTGAGCCTTTCATCTCATCAGCAAATGAAACAATCATTGTAATGAGATGTGCCTGTTGCATGTTGTTCGAGGTTTTCCAGATTGCCTTGGGAGCTGTTGATTCCATAGACAGCTGCACTTTTCCATTTAAAATAGTTAAACAGCTTCAGGCTCTTTCTTTGTATTAACAATAAGGGCTTCTGAAATGGCATATGCTAAAGAAAACTAGCAAATAAGACAATCACATGTGAATAGAGAACAAATGCAACATGAACCCAGACTCATGGCGGAATAGAGTTGCCACTGTTTTTCACTGGCTACCTCCCATGGCTTTCAGAGCTACTTCACCACAAAGGCTTCAGTCCTTTACACACATATATGCCATCAAGTTGCTTCTGACTTATTATGACCCTGTCAATTCATGACCTCCAAAATGTCCGATTGTTAACAGCCTTGCTCAGGTCTTGCACATTGGAGGCCACGGCTTCCATGACTGAGTCAACCCATCTCATGTTGGCACTTCCTCTTTTCCTACTGCCTTAAACTTTTCCTAGCTTTATTATCTTTTCCAGTGAGCCTCCCCCCCACTTACTTGGAAATAGATCATTTTTAAATACTCACAGCCCTTTGGTTGGACACAAGTAAACATGCAAATAATTGCAGTACAAGGGTAGAGTTACTACTTCTTTTTTTCTTGGCAGGGCTTCTTCTGTAAAATCTGAGCGATAAGCGGAAACTCAGTAGCTGTAATAGATGCAGATAAAGGGGGGTGGGCTTTCTCCATTTACTGCATCTTTGTGCCACAAAAAGGAGGTTCATCTCTTTAGAGCACAGTAGCCCTCCCAGAAGAGAAGTTGGTAGTTTAACTTATTCATCTTTCTCTCTTTCATCCTCCATGTTGATTGTGTGCTTTGTTTC